TTACTGATCAGAAGTTACTTTTGAATTGCATATTAAATCTTCATAATCTAGTGGATCATCAATATTTTATTATTTTATAAATGTTAACTAATAAATAATACTAATAAAAAAATAAAAAAATGTTATGATATTTAAATATTATTATTTGGTACATTATTGTAGTGAAATATAGTGTTATTTGCGTGTTTGGATAGTTAAATGYTGATCTTTGGCATTTTGTTATGTGTTTCAAATTACTTTGACGCTTCTGAGTTTGAGTTTATATACATGGTATAACTGAATAACCTGAGAAACAATAACTTTTGTTCAATATTTAAAATTGTTTTATGTAGCTTATAGATGTATCCTATGGGTTACAAGTAATAGGTTCCTGCCTACATTTTTATTTTAAATTTTAAAAATGTTGATGTTAAAAACCTTTGTATAAACATTTATTTATTTTTTACAATCTTATAAAATATCATAATTTTTTTGGAATAAATTAATTCAAAACATAATATTATATTCTTTATGGGAATTTTCTTTAGACATAAGAAAATTAAAAATTAATTATGAACAATTGCAGTTTAGCTACCATGCAATTTTTTTTTTCAAATGACCCCAATTTCCTAGAGGGCTTTGGCCCTTCTGATGATGCTTTCAATGTACTTCATATTTCAAGTTAAGTTCCTCCTTTGATATTTGAATCGCAAAGTTAGGTAACTCAGTCTCTTCAATAAAAATGTCATGAGCAGTCCCTATCTCACGTGTTTAAATTTATAAATTAGCATCAACTCCACTTAAAATTTACCATCTCAGACATCATAACCTAGTTATATCTTTGAATTAAAAACTTAAATCTCTTCGTCAGAAATTCTAATTACAATATCTTTCTTTTGAGTTTTWAAAGTAATAGAAGGACGTTTTTTTATAAATCAATCAATATCATCTCTACTTTAAATTGTGTATCTACTATCTAGGTTATAATTGTGTATCTCATCCATCTTGTCATTTACCTTAMRCATTTTGAAGCATTTTCCCCGCAGTCCATTACTCTGCTCAAGTACATAAAATGTCGAGAAGACATTAGGTTGCATTGTATTCTTGAATTTTCGAGTAATGTTATTTGGTTGAGATTGTTGCCACCGGACATGATTGTATAACTTACAATTAAAATAATTCAAAGATTTTTAGAAATATTATTCTTTTTTTAGAATAATATTGTTTAAAGACATATTACTATCATAGTTATTATTTTGTATGCAAATATGAATAAAAAATATTTTACTTAAAATATTGGCCATGTTTAACCTATTTGATATTATTTTAAACATTTGGGTGCTTTTCTATTATCTCAACCACTGCCCTATGTATGTTGTGACTGTATAGTATTCTGATTGTTTAGATTGTTATTTTGTTTTAACTTAAATTTGTGTCATCGTTACTATGTAGTATGTCTGTTGTTTTCTTTGGATAGACTTTTAGTGCAAGTTTGCCATTTAGTGATTTATTATAATAACTCAATTGGGTTACATAAACAATTGTGACCGTTAATTTACCAAATGTTAATAAAATGCATACTTATTATATTTTTATACTATAGAACTTTTACTATTTATAACTAATTAACAATTATTGTTAAATAATATCCCAAAATTAATAGCCAACTTTACATTAATTGTAAAATAGAAACAAGTTTTTATTATTAAAAGTATTATTTTAGARTATGCTGTCGAGTATCGGCAATACATTATACAATTTCAGCTATTTTCCATAACGACCTTCATTTAGTATTAATCTAATTCTTGGAATAAGCTCAAAGCTTTTCTGCCAAAATATTAAAATATATTATTTTTAAGTTGAATAAATATATTTTATTACTGTATTAGATACTAATTTATTATTATTATTATTATTATATAACATATAATGTAAACAAATAATAATAATTAATATTATTATAATTATATCAAATATGTGTTACATATTATTAAAAGTGCTTCGAAGGTATTTGATAATATTAGGTATTGTATACATAATGATACATAATCATGATAAATTGTTTGTGGTTGTTTCTCATGATAATTATTGTTGTATTTTTAGCTTTCATAATAATGCAATAAATATATTTTATTTCATTCAAGGAACCTGGTTAAAAAAATATATAAKAAAAATGTTATAGTCTTATTAAGTATACATAAAATAAACAAATATTAAGTTATTTTAATTGTTAACTATAAGCCTATTACATATATTATCATTTTTAAATTTATTCTTTCTAATATAAATTATTACTCAGAATTTAAATGAGATCATCGCGAGTCAAACATAAAAAAAATAAAATACTTGTAGGTGTTAATGCTATGAAGATTATCGTCTAAGTATACGACTGTCACTATTTAAAATAAACTATTCATGAACAGTTATTTTTAGGTGTAAATCTGTAAATGGCGGGTCAAAAATATAACAGTTCCTACTTATGAACTCTATGACAACTAAAAACTAATTTTATCATTTATCACAAATTATAAATACTATTTTTAAAAACCACCTRTTGATTTGTTTGTCATAAGGTGTTTTTTTTATTAATTGTTGGCATTTATTCATAAGTATTTTTTTTCCATTTTTGTTTCATGGTTTGATAAAAAATATAATTAATATTTTGTACATAATATGAAGAAATAATTAGTATTATTATCTTACCCCATTGTAGGTAAATATAATCATTTATATATTGATAATCTAATATACTTATACTAAATATATTTAAGAGGATGTGACACCGTATGTATTGTCTCAGTCTTACAAGTGCGTAACAGCAATTTTTATRTTCAGCAAGACACGTGTAGCTCTGTTAGTTTAAAATTTAGAGTGAATTTACCTCTAATAAAATTTAAAGGTAAGGTTATTATCTAGGTTATCACAGAGGTATTTTATTATATTTTAATTTCAAAACGAGTTATGTGTATCTTTAAGATTGTAAATTGTTTGTATATTTTAAATTATTCATAATTCGCTTTAAAATTAAAATATAATAAAAAGCCTCTGTGATAACTTAGATAATAATGTTACCWTTAATTTTCATAAAAGGTCAATCTAAATTTTAAACAAATAGAGCTAAATTGAAACTGCTGAGCGTAAAAATTGTTTGTTATGCACTTGTAAGATGGAGACAACACATGCTGGTATTACTTCCTCTTATTGTTATGAATTGATATGTTCTATACAATTACAACCAGTACTGTYGAGGAGATATAACAACTACACCATGATAATTAATTATAATTAATAAAAATATTTGATGATAACTTTTTTTTTTTAAATTACTTTGTTCCTTATAYAAACCTTACTAGAGTAATTTTTAAACTGAATTAATACCATTTTATTATTTTCAGCAAAAGAAAAAAAATAATCGAAATGCTGTTGAATAGTTATCTATAATGTCTGAACACAGAAAACATTCTAGGATCTCGGTGATGCAAATGTTTCATGAGCTCAAACAGCAATTTCCCACAATTCCAGATCAAGTAGTTTCTGATTGTATACTTAAGGTCAGATCATTAACATAATCATTTTTACATTTATTTAAAATTAACAGTTATTATTKTTATTTATTTCAGCATTCAACTAATCGAGAAGCTTGTGTATCAAATCTAAAAAGTGTTCAGAAAAATTACGTTCAACAAGCTTATCCATCTGATATTGTAGATAAAATGGCTAATAGACCCAAGACTCTTGAAATGTCACCAAACAATCTTTCCTTGCCTAAATTACAATTTTCAAATAGACCACAACAATTTGATGACTCAAAGGATTTAATAAATTCAAATCAAAGTGATGTAGATGACACACAGATTTTAGATATAGATTTTAATATAAATAGATGTCAATGTTCATCTATTTCGGCACCATCAACTCCTTCACTACGCCATCAAGGAGAGCATAGACACAAATCTTGTCTTTCCTTAGATTCTGTGCCGTTTGTTGAAACACAATGTCGGCCATTCACTTCTGTAAGCCTCACTTTAAGAACACCTACTAAAGATCCTTTACCTTTGGACTTATTAGCTGGTGGAGGTTCTGAACTCACTTATACAGCTTGTTCATTTGATCCTACTACTGATCCTAAAAATTGTTACCAATCAAGACTTCATATAAGTATTGACCCTGAAGGTGAAACAACTGTGACTACTTCTCGTGTTATGGTTTCTCCTACAAATGTTAAATCTATTAATCGGATGACTGAAATTCAAATTCCGGGATCAGTTCAAATTGATAATATTTTACCTAAAACTAAAAGTGAGTTTTAAATATTATATATTGCACATTTTTACTTGATTTATAATTGTCTGTGTATTCATTAAATAAATATATTTTTAAGTTAACAAATGTRTGCTTGAAGTTTTAATTTTGTAAACTTTTCTTTTAGTGGTAATTAATGCTCAATTAGAACGAAAACAGAAGTTGGCATTAGAATTGTCAGCAGAAAAACAAAGATTAGAAATTATGAAAAAAAATGTGGCATCAATGGAAGAAGATATTTCTAAAAGGCGTTCATATTCCAGAAAGGTGTGTAGAGTAAATTTATCTTTGTGTTATCATGATATTTTTTTTATATATTAATATGTATAATGTGCATGTAGATTGAACGTTTAAGAAATGATGTTGAAACGTTACGGTTAGAATGTAATAAACTAACTATTCAAGTAGATACAGCTAAAGAGAATCAAGGTAGGTTGAATTATGTAATTATTAATTGAAATTACTCGATAATTAATAAAGGTTAAATTATCATAAAAGTTAAAATGATGGGGTGTAGTGGCCAGGCGGATTAAGGTGTCAGTTACGATGCACACTGTTGCCGGTTCAAATCCCGGTCATGAATAGCATCGCTTTCTGGGCAGTTCTATTGTCTGGAAAGAGAGGCCGTGGCCCCCCACCCGGGTATGGCAGAAACCTACGGGTGCCCATTCGAAATTCTGCCCAAAACATCCACTAATACCAAAACCAACAGTTCCCTCTCCGACAGTTCCATAGACCCTTGTTGTCAAAGCCTCAACCTCCAACAAAAAAAAAAAAGTTCAAATGAAGGGGTCCGTATTAAACAAGATAAATATATTTTCATAAAAAATCTAATTTAAATTATTATTTAAAATATYTACAATATTTTGTATGAAGTAAAAATGACAAGTATGTTTTGCAATACAAAGACAGATAGACAATACAATTTAACAATTTAATGTTTATAACGCACTAGAAGCTGTCTAGTTTTTATTTTCCGGTCAAAAATCAGAAAGCTCAAAGACAATAGTATAATAAATAAAATTGATAAATATTAAGTTCTGGTTAAAATACAAGATATCAAAAATTTAAATTGGTTTTTTTATTTTATTAAAAGTTATAGAAAATAAATTTGTCAGGTTTTTGATATTGACTTATGATCTAAAAATATGAACTTGAACTGTCTTGAAGATGTAATTTTTGTTTTTATAGTTTTATCAGACGAAACCAATAAACAATTTTATAATAAAATTTATACTGGACAAAAAGTGTCTTTTGGAAAAACCCACAAAGAATATCAAGGTTAGAATAAGTTAACTATAATTATTTAATAAATTACTTGCATATACATAATAATTTGAATTATGAATTGTTTTATCACTGAAATATTTATTTTGTAGAACATTCAGAAATCCAAAACTGGGTTTGTCCTATGTGCACTTTCCAAAATCATCCAATATTGCCAAGATGTGAACAGTGTGATATGGCTCGTTTTGATCTAGGTACTACAACATCAGTTGTGAACAACAATATCCCCATGTGCACAAAATTAACTGCAAATCTAACAAGACAATGCTTAACATGAGTGAAACTTTTAGCAGTGTGTGATGGTGAGAATTTTAACATTACTAACTTTGATGATTGTATATGTATATATATCAATTATGTGATATAAACAAATTAGAAAACTAGTAATTTCATCAAATTTAAATTTTAACTGTTTTAAGTATTTTGCATCAAATTTGAAATATTTCAACTTTTTAACAACACGTTTATTTTTTCTAAAAGTAATTTAATGCCTTAACAACATTTTTTTTAATAACAATTCWTTGTTTCATTTCTTTTTTTTCTTAAGTTAAAATTATATGTATACTAGTATAGTTTTTAGATTTTTTTTTTGCCACAGAACTAACGGCTTACATGGAACTTTGTTTTTAATTTTCAATCCTTACCTTTATAAGTTAAACATTTTATAAATTTTTAATATCCAAAGAATTTGTAAATTTTCAATTAATACATTTTGTCAA